CTGCCCGGTTTCTGCCCTTTCCCTGGCATTCCAGGCCCAGACGGCAGGAATGGTGTTCCTGCACCTGCGGCACCTTCCATTTCTTTTGGAACAGGCGCTGCGTCGCCCCCACTACCAGCTGATATACCACCAGCCGCTGTTTTCTCCTCCAATAGGGCATTATTAATTCCACCTTCACTGTCATCCTCAGCTGCAACCGCCTTTATTAATCCCATTCGGGTGGAAATCAACCCGCGATCCGCCTTCAGGCGCAGCCTGTCATTTCCTCCATTACGCGCGTGCGTCAAGAAGTTTCCTCCACCCTCGTTGTAGCGATCGTCCCTTGCATCTCCAAAACCATTGCCGCACCACAGCACGCAGAGGGCACACACCAGCAGCACACGGCCAGTCATCCTCATCGCCATCACTCCTGTCACTTGCGTGCAGCCTTCAGCACAAACTAACAACACGTCAACGCAGAGCAAAAAAGGATATACACGGCCTCTACACCACACAACGTGACAAATGATAGCAGCTTGCGCACACCGTAAGAAAGATGGAATCAGTACGATTGCAGAACTCGCACACACAGCTCCGCAATAATTGACCAGAAAGAAAAACATACAAGAAACAATTAAAAACAAAAAAACAGTAAACAAACAGCAATAAAGTAAAAACAAGTAAAAACACAAAAGACAAAGAACTGCACAGTATGGCTCCAGTGTGCATGCACCAGCACCCAAAAATGCGTCCACACAAAAATTTGTATGCGTGTCGTGCATATGAGTGTGTCTGGGATGCGTGCCAAGTAACGGATACAGGAAACAGCAGCACACAGCAGGGCAGCGGAAGCAAATGAAGCAAAAAACAATCATTATTTTCTCTTACTTTATACATCGGGCCACAGTAGACGCACACAAATCCCCGCGGTTGAGTGCTGGCACGCACAGACCGCATACACATCTTCATTCCACAGCGGTGTACGCCAGCGCGGATACGGCGAGCAGCAGCGGAGCACACACCCACGCAGAGCTGCTGAGGCTGCCGTCGATTTCGCGAAGACGTGACGGTGCACGGGTGGTCGTCGTAGTTGGCGCCTCTGCATTCATGGCCGTATCACTTAGTGCCTCCGGCGCAGTGGTGGTGGTTGTAGTAGTTGGTGCCATTGTTGTAGTTGTGGTCGTTGTGGTTGTCGTGGTTGGTGCCTGTTCATTAACTTCTTTACCAGCTAGCGCTACTTCATTATTATGCTCCGGATTCTTTACAACTGATTTATCGAAGTCACCTGTTGGTCCTGGTGAAGGGTTATTCCCTTCTGATGCCTCTGGCTGACCAGACGCACCTCTTCCATCTTGCGAAGTGGGCGCTCCACTTGGTCCTTCTCCTGTACCTGTCGGAGTTGGAGTTGCTGGAGCAGCAGCGGTCTTCAATTGTCTCTCTGACGAATTGGGCTCCTCATCTGAACTCTGTTCATTATCTTCCGTGACTTTTGCTCCTGGATTATCGGAATTGCTTGAACCCCCTGAATCCTGGAGCGTTGCACCCTGTCCAGCTTTTTCACCTTTATCTCCACTCCCTGTCATGCACACGGACGGGCAGCAGCACAGGGCGAGCACCAACAGGGCGCACAGCAGACGGCACGTCATCATCGTGAGTGTGGTCGTTCAGTGGTGTGGAGCTGATCTGCACAGTGAGGGACATGTAGAGCAACAGAGGAGACGAGAGGTGCGGCAGACACACACAGAGGGCACACCACATGAGGAGAGAGGGCAGCAGCCAGGCATGCACCGTACGCCGCACACCACGCACGACACACACTCCAATCCACGGCAGCAGGCACACACACACAGCCCTGCCGCAGCACCAACACACAGATGGAAGTGGGAGAAGCAAACAGGAGCGGCACACAAGGCTCCACCGCATGCACATACGGCGAGAGCGGTCCGTCGTGTCTGCTCCCCTCACGGAGGGTACGCACACACACGAGAATAGGTGCAGCGCACACAGCAACACGAAAGCAAAGTAACCATCGTAAAAGGAGAGATCACCGCACACCACGTGAATTGCTGTTCCACGGGAAGCGCGGCCACCACCACAGCAGCAGCCGCACACGCAAAGTCAAGCGCAAGGAATGGAATAAAGCAGCCATTTATTCGTGTTTCTTTTTGGAGGGTGGAAGATGTCTGCATATGTTGTTATTGTTTTTGCGGAGGGCAAACCTTCATGCCTGTATCGTGTGTTGGGGGTTCCTGCAGTGTGCACAACTGTTTCCTTCTCATGTGATTTTTTATTGTGTTGGTGCAGCCAATAATTCAATTTGTGTTGTTCCTGCTTCTCGCTGGTAAAAGCGTTGCAATAGATGTTTGCTTTTCTTTTTGTTGCTGTGGCACCTGATTCCTCACCGTTTATTGCGGTGGAAATGAGAATATGTGAGTGGACTCCCACACACCAAAAAGCACCTTCGCTCCTATTTATTGGTGCACAGAAGGGCATGTGTGTTTGGTGGTGCCTCGTCCATATATTTTATGGGCGTACATTCCCCTGCAGGCTGAGGGCGGGGTGACGCTCCGTCGCGGTGCACTTCCCTCGCATGCCGCCCACTGTGATTCATCATGCATCACCCCCTCACACATTCCGTGGTGCCACACCGTTGATATTACTGCAGCCACTGTGATTCCGCGTATTTCGCGCATTTCATTGAGCCACAATACATCCGCTCGTGTGGCCGCCGCATCCAAACAGCGGTGCCCAGCACCGTGAGCGGCAGTCCACATCCCTGCATGCCCCAACGCAGTGGTGTTTGACTGTGAGCCAGGCGTCAGACAACACGAGAGTATTGTGCTGGCAGCACAACACACGGAGCTGCATTGAATGACTCGGGCGGCGACGCATCTATTTGTCGCAAAGCAGTGAAAAGGAGTCGGGCAAAATAATGCCGGCTGCATTCACAACATCATATCCACAGCCAAAGCTTGCGACGTGATGTGTGCTTCACTGGTGCTGTGAAATGCCTGCAGACGACGTCACTAGTGGAGGCACAGGACCCATGATCAGTGGACAGACAATAATCGGCATGGGAGGCCACAAAAGGCAGCAACGACGCCAGCAGCAGGAGCAGCTCTCTCTCTCTGTTGCCTCCAAGAAGTAATTATTCCACCAGCCACAGCCGGCTGTGCCATCGTGACACTCCATGCACGTCGTGGCTGCGTCAACACATCCTGTTCCCTGCAGCGCCTCAGATGCCTCACTCCGTCCACTAAGTGCATCGATGCGGGCCGTGCCTGGGCTGTTCATCAGGACCACAACGATGTGAGGGTCACCGAGTCGCAGCATGTTTGTTGTGACGTTGTTGCATGGCACCTGCACACACACGCAGCGCCTGCATCCTCCCTTTTGTGTCCGCCCTCCGCCGGAGTGGCCACACACACGGGCAGCAGCAAAATCATTTCACCCTCGACGATCCAAAAATAAACACCGACATCCCTCGCGACGCAAAGGTCTCAGTTGCCAGCACGGGCTTCCTGCCGCTCTGCCATCAACGCTCAAACACGGCACAGTGCACGCACTTATTTTCCTCGTGTTCCGTCAGCCGTTTGCTTCACACATTCTTCGACGGGCTGACGCCCACAAAAGCACGCCACAAAAGCCACTGTGATCGCACAAGCTCTTGCGATGAGCGTCTGTGTGTGCATGGATCCGCTGCTCACACGTGCTGGCACGACCGCCTGCAGCCGGTGCCCTCGTGCCAGTTCATCGGCTCCAGCATGGGAAAGAGAAAATGGCCAATTCCTCGTGTACTTATTCCCACCGGCAGTGCCAACACGCTGGTCGCCAGCCGTCATTCCTCAGCACATCCAGGAATACTGAAAAGTGACGTGGAGCTGTCAGCCAGCAATGCCACAATCCCCGCACACATGTCGGCTCCACCAGAGAAAAAACACAAACTACAAACAACACCCTTCACACGTTTCCGAGCATCATTCCGACACACCGCGATACGCCAAACAGAAGTATTCGTCACCCCAATGCACCTCCCCACACAATCACATAGTCCATGCACCACGGCAGCAGCCCACACCCGTCTAAACAAATGTTCTTCGGATCAGTGTTATCCACGTGCTGCAGTGGGAAGCAAACAAAAGAGACGGGCCGCCAAACCCCAAAAGAGTGCAACGAATGGCCGCAAGTCAACGGAACGCTGCCACTCAAAACAATTCAGTCCTCATGCCCTCAACCTCCCACCTTCTCCCACAAAAGCCCCAAGAGCTGCCAATCAAGCGCGCCGTCCAACAAATTCTTTGTGCAAGACCAGGAGGAATCGCAGTGCCTCCTGCTGCCATCCGGGTCCGTTGTGGACGCCATGATGAGTAGAAACGCCCATTGGTGCTTCGAAACGACGCTGCACACCTGCGACGCATCATACGGTTTGAGACGCACGTGCCTCACCAGCACCACAGACGCCCACGCGCCGTCGGTACGCCCTACATCGTCAAGGAAGCAAAGGATACGTCAGGGTGGCAGCAAAGCACTCGCTGGCAATTCACGTCGCAGGCATCACCACAAGCAGCTCCAGCAGCGCTGCAGACCGTGGGGTGCCGTGGATCAACTGACGCATGGCGTATGTGGAAAAGAAAAGGACGTGGTGGCTTTACAAGGATACGAGTGGCTGACACTTTTAGAAGGAGAAAGAAAACAATGTGGGAACACACAAAGAGGAATCAGGCGTCCGCAGTCAAAGCAAACCAGCAATCAAAAAAAGAAAGATGGATACACTCAACCACAACACAGGCAGAGGATAAAAAATACCAACAACAAAAGCCGAAGCGTGGGGGCGTCCACCCAGCAGTGGGGACACGCAGCAACAGGTGGGACGACCAGCGCACACACACTCTCATTGCTCCCGTAAAGCAAAACACACACACAGGGAGAGAGAGAGAGAGAGAGGTCGCCCACTCCATGCAATAAAAACAAAAACAGTTACGGTGCTCCGCCCATGCAGCCAGGCAGGACGGCAGCGGTGCGTGTCGTGCAAAAGAGAGCACCAACGGGCCTGCATGGGTGTGCATGCATATATACAATGGGCACATTATGTGTGTGCTTCGTGGGATGAGGTGAGGGCGAGAGTCCATTCAAGGGGACACACACAGAGAGTGGGTGAAGGACGAGTGCGTGTGCGAGCGGTGCATGGCTCTCTCTCACTCACTCTCACGCGGCAACCACCGCAGCAGCCGCAAAAACAACAACAAGAAGAAGCAAAAGAGGGGAGGTGGTGTGGGAGACCGCGGTGCTGCCGTCACTGTCGCCAGTTGCCACCGCATAATTTTTTTGGGCGGTGGTGGGTTTTATTGCTGTTTGAGGTGCTGCCTCACTAGCTGTGGGAGCTGCCTGGCTACCAATACCTTCAAGATCTTCGTGTGATTCGTTGGGGTTAGGCTGTTGAGCATTGGCAGTATTCTCATCCGCCGTACTCCGGGCTTCACCACCGCCACTTGTAGAGTTGGGTGATGCTGTTGTTTCTGCTTGATTGGTGGCAGGTGCATTCTCCGTCAAATTCTCTGTGGATTGACCTTGTTGCTCTGCCACAATATCCTCTGAAGCATCTTCCGGTGCATTGTACTCTGTTTTTTTTGGTAACAGTAACTTTTTATGCTCTTGAACGTTTGGTGTCTGTGAGTCTGTTGTTGCTGTTAGTGGTTACCCTCCTCTTGACGATGGTTCTGTTGCTGATGGCGGTGCTTGTGTCTTTGGCGTTTCTTGTGGCGTTGTTTGCCGTTTTGTTTCGCTGTCGGGGAATGACACGCTTGAACGGTCTTGCGTCGCCAAGGCTCTCTGCTGTGCCTCGTATTCAGTTGTACCTCTACCAACAACTTGGTTGGATGCCGTATCTTCTCCAGTGACGGAATGGTTTTCTGCATCGTTTATTGACTCCTTCGGTGCCTTCACCTGCGACGGGACGGGACCTCCAGTTATTGCGTTTTCTGAATGCCTGCCCGTTTCCAAAGATTTATTCTTCTGATTGGTAGACGCATCGCCGGCGTGCTGTAGAGCAACCCCAGAAGAAGAAGCCTTCAAGATGAAACCTTCAATTCTATCAGTTCCGCCACCACCATGACTGTCAACAGATGGTGCTTGTGGTGATGCGTGTTGGTTTCCTTCTCCTGCTGGAGCTGCTGGCGTTGATGGTGGTGGGGTTTCCTTCTGTTTTGTTAAGACTCCGCTTGTCTGACTTCCATCCCGCTCATTTGCATTTTGTCCAACTTCGTGTCGTCCTTCTTCACCACTTTCCGTTACTTCATCCAAATTTTTATTTTCAACCGTTTCTTCTTCCTCTTCTTCTTCCGAAGATCCTTCTGGGAGTGCGGGACGTCCTTCCCGAGATTTGTGTTGCTGCTCCTCTCCTGACGATTGTATTTGTGAGTCTGGTGCCGGCGCCGCATTTTTTGTTCTTCCCTGCCCAACTTCAGTACCACCTTTAGTCCGCCATCGAAAACATCATTCGCCACCGACTCCTCCACAGCACCACAGCACGCAGAGGGCACACACCAGCAGCACACGGCCAGTCATCATCATCGCCATCACTCCTGTCACTTGCGTGTAGCCTTCAGCACAAACTAACAACACGTCAACGCAGAGCAAAAAAGGATATACACGGCCTCTACACCACACAACGTGACAAATGATAGCAGCTTGCGCACACCGTAAGAAAGATGGAATCAGTACGATTGCAGAACTCGCACACACAGCTCCGCAATAATTGACCAGAAAGAAAAACATACAAGAAACAATTAAAAACAAAAAAACAGTAAACAAACAGCAATAAAGTAAAAACAAGTAAAAACACAAAAGACAAAGAACTGCACAGTATGGCTCCAGTGTGCATGCACCAGCACCCAAAAATGCGTCCACGCAAACAGTTGCATGCGTGCCATGCGTATGGGTGTGTCTGGGATGCGTGCCAAGTGACGGATGTGGGGCACAACGCGGAGCACACAGCAGGGCAGCAGAAGCAAATAAAGCAAAACACAATCATTATTTTCTCCTATTTATTTACATCGGACCACAACACACGCACACAAATCCCCGTGGTTGAGTGCTGGCACGCACAGCCCGCATACACCTCTTCAGCCCACAGCGGTGTACGCCAGCGCGGATACGGCGAGCAGCAGCGGGGCACACACCCACGCAGAGCTGCTGAGGCTGCCGTCGACTTCGCGAAGACGTGACGGTGCACGGGTGGTCGTCGTGGTTGGCGTCTCCGTAGTCGTCGTACTTGGTGCCTCGGGCGCAGTGGTGGTGGTCGTAGTTGGTGCCTTTGTGGTTGTGGTCGTTGTGGTCTTCTTGGCAGGATCCTCAACTTCCTGATCTGTCTGGTGTGCGAATGCATTCGTCTTACTTTTTCGTCCTCTCGTATCGTCAATATCTTCTCCCTGCAACACATCGATTTTGTCTTTTGATTCTGATCCCCCTCCACCAACGTTTCCCGGCTCCGCATCGAGCCCACTACTCGGCGGCCCTGACGCAGCGGTCACCTGTGATACTGCCTCTCGTGGAGAGGGCGATTGACCGGCGTCGGCACGATCCCCAGGCGTCGTGTTCTTGTTTGAAATTACTGGGGCCTCCGGAGCTAAATTATTGGCTGGTGCAGGGGGCAATGAACTGCCGACCTTTCCATTAGAGCCTGAATTCTGATCCATATTAGTGTCTTTCGTGCACACGGACGGGCAGCAGCACAGGGCGAGCACCAACAGGGCGCACAGCAGACGGCACGTCGTCATCATCGTGAGTGTGGTCGTTCAGTGGTGTGGAGCTGATCTGCACAGTGAGGGACATGGAGAGCAACAGGGGAGACGAGAGGTGCGGCAGACACACACAGAGGGCACACCACATGAGGAGAGGGCAGCAGCCAGGCATGCACCGTACGCCGCACACCACGCACGACACACACTCCAATCCACGGCAGCAGGCACACACACACAGCCCTGCCGCAGCACCAACACACAGATGGAAGAGGGAGAAGCAAACAGGAGCGGCACACAAGGCTCCACCGCATGCACATACGGCGAGAGCGGTCCGTCGTGTCGGCACCCCTTGCGGAGGGTACGCACACACACAACAGGAGGTGCAGTGCACACAGCAACACAAAAGCAAAGTAACAATAAAAAGAAGAGATCCCCGCAAACCACGTGGATTGTTGGTCCACGGGAAGTGCAGCCAATATTCATCACAACAACAATTCATTTGCCTTCGGCCTTCGTTCATATTCAGTGCACACCACTTCATGCAGGCACAGCCATCGCAGCAGCAGCAGCAAAAGCAAAAATAAGCGCAGGAAATGGAATAAGGCAAGCAACCATTTATTTGTGTTTCTGTTTAAATGTTGGCAGATGTCTGCATGCGTTGTTTTGTTTTTGCGGAGGGCAAACCTTCATGCCTGGGTCGTGTGTTGGGGAATCCTGCAGGGTGAACAATTATGTCCTTTTTCCTCTTGTGAAGTTTGCTTGTGTTGGTGCGGCCAATAATTCGGTTTGTGTTGTTCCTGCTTCCCTTTGTTACAGTGCTGCAATAAAGAATAATCTTCCGGACCGCTGCCGAATCCTGAGTTTCTCAATAATAGAAACCAAACAAGATAGAAATAAGTGAGCGATCAACGGAATAAGAGTGGATTCACCACCTCCCCAATGTTTAACACCTAGTAAGTGTATATATATTATACCATACGTTAGCCTCAATTGTGGCCCGTTCACTCTATTCCGATGGAATATTTATTTATTTATTTATTGCTTGCGACGTGGCAGACTTTGGGGTCCTCCAGCCACAAGACCCCGCCGCGTGGTGGGAACCAAAAGGGGGTGCGTGCGATGGTAAAAATAAAAATAAAAAATTATCCGGCCGCTGTAGGCTCCCTAAAGTCGTGGCCTTCCCAAAACTCATACGGTAGAAAAGTGTCCTAAAGAAGTGTATATTCGTTCCATCAGGGTATATATATATATATTACATTCATTAGGGCCGCCAGCTCTCCCGCGATCATTCTCTACACAGGCTCCTAAAAGGGCTCAAACACACCCACAAGACTCCCAGCAAGAAAAAGGAAACACGGCATGACTGACACGACTCAGAGTCATGTTTCTAAGACAATGCGTGGATGACTCTGTCGACGCCACACCCGCACCATATGCCATCAACTCCTCCACGGCAATAATCCTGCAGCGTGCGGAGAGGAAGTTTCACGAGCGCATTATTGGCGGAGCCAAACAACTGTACCGTCAGCAGAGGGCAGCGGTCGGCGGGGGAAAGTGAAGGTGATGGGACTGTTGGGGAGGGTCGATGCGCAGCGTCCCTCACAAATACGAGGCGGGTGAAGTGAAACACACTCGTCTGAACGTCACCCGCCACCAAGATGCATTGCTCCCTGCCGTAAATATTGATGAGCTCGAGCCTGGAGCAACCACGCGCAGTGCGTAAAAGTGTCTTCCTGCACTGACGCTGCGATTCACATTAGATGGGCAACTTCAGAACAGTCGATCCCCAGCAGTAAAATGCAGCTGGCAGTGACGCTGTGGATTCTCGATTCCCCCCGGCAACGAAGGGTGAAGAAGAAAACTGGTCTCCCCAGCTGCGCGGCATCCATCCATCCACTCTGTGCGTCCGGAGTGCCCCGCAGCTACCTTGAGAGATGCAGCGGACAGACCTCCCTTATTTTCGCCTCGATCCGTCAACAAAGACTTTCGCGGTGCTGTCGGCACACACCGAAGTCTCCCTCGTGCCCGCCAAACAAAAGACACACCCGTTGAGCATCGTCACGTGCGTCGACGGCCACGCAAATAAATACCCACCGCAACGCAAAGTGTTTCTTATTGGGCACCAAAAGAAAACTCGAGGCGGCGGCCTGGACAACACAGACATCAAATCATCCGCCAGGCAACGCTGAAATACATGCGAAAGAGCCAACGCGGGACCAGCAGCACAACCACTCGAGAGCTGCTGCGTGAACTCCACGGTAAATGGATCAGCCTCAACGCATGGGGCACTAATTACGGTGGGTGACAGCGCGAAGGCAAACATTTCCTCAAGGCCGGGAATTGTGGGGACGGCATTCAAACCCTCCTGGGATTCGTGTACCAAGACACGCAAATAATCCGCCCCTCGGTGCAAGTCGTCACCATAATCCTCATCGCTCCTTTTGCCGTCATTCGTATTGTCACACTCAAAGCCGTTGAGGGAAGGTGCTGCCATGATAATTGTGACATCACCCTGAATGAAACAACACAATGCCTCGAAGGGTGCCGAGTGCAGGCATCCCGTCAGGCAGAGACACCGCGCATTCTTAGCAATGTACGAAGCTAGGGCAACGAAACGGCTTTCATCCGCCATCGTGATCGCGTCCAGCAGGTCCACCCTCTTGTTCCTCGACGCCTCATTCTCCGCAGCACCAACAGCCGCTGCCACAGATCACGCTGCTGCCGCAATCACTCCCGCAGAGAAACAAGGAAGAGTGTGTGGATGTGTGTGCCTAGAACACAGCGACTGTCATCGCCGGAGAAGACCATCGTGCAGCCGCGTCATCATTTCAGCACGGAACGTCAGCCAACGTCCCTCGTTACCAAATACATTCTTGCAGAGCACTGTGCAAGTACTTATGTGTGTGGGCGTCTGTTGGAGGAGCAAAAAAAAAAGAGAAGCACAGGGAGGCACATCAACACGGCAAGAGGCACAGCCGGGTGACAGCGGTACATGCGGTACGGCCCCGACCTCAAGAATCACGCACGGTGGCAGCAAACACCCATCCACAGAAAAGAAAAACACGGCGGCAGGGTGTGGCTGTGTGTGTGTGGCGCTGCGGGTGTCTGCCCGCCCTGGCCGCATAAAAACAAAACAAGAGGGAAAGAAATGTGTGCTCCGCCCCACAGGCCCTCGTCGCACGCCCACACATCACGGCCCCTCCTCATGCGTGCAGCAGGCGAGGCGCACAGGGCCGTCGTCATGAGCGTCTCGGTGGGTGTGCGAGTGGAGCAGTTGGGCGGGAAACACACGGCACCCCTCACAGGAAGAGTGCAGAAGAAACAATTAAAAGAGGGAAGAGTAGAAAAGAAAAGAAACGTCCATAGTGATTGCCCCAAAAAGCAAGAAAAGAAAGTATGGGGGATGAGAGATAATTAAAGAAACAACAACAACAGAAAACCAAAAAAAAAAAAAAAAAATTTTTTTAAAGGACACACACGCGCAACACGTAAAAAAGAAAAAATGATGAATTACAAACAGAAAGCAAAAAAGGAAAATTATCTTAAGGAAAAAGTTAGTTCTTGGAATTAATTCCGTGCTGGGGATGCCGCAGGTGTCCCACGCGGCAGCCAGTCACTCCTCACAGAGCCACAAACCCCCACAGTCCCAACAGCAGAAGCAGCAATGGCAACAGTCCGCTCTCACGCATGGTGCCGGCATCAATTTTATTTTCTTGCGACACATTTCCGAGGTTGCTGCTGAGTGCCGTGGCATTTACTTCCCTGATCTGCGTATTAACCTCCTCCTCCTGCCCATTCGTTCCTCCTTCTCTTGTCTCCACCGTTGGCTCGCCATCAGAAGAAGAACCGCCACCCACATTTTTATGTCCATCAGAAGATGATCCTGACGCCACCTGCATTACGGACTCCTCTCCTGCTGAAGGAGTAGTTATAGTGGACACTGCTATTGTGGATGCACCGCCACTGCCCGCATTACTGCTCCCCATCGACTGTCCCTGTTCCGTCAGATGTTTTCCGTCAGGAGTAGACAAAGTTCCGGTTTGCTGAACAGCTGCGGTAACCGGAGAGGTGTTAGGATTAACGGAATCAGAAGAAACTGTTAACGGCTCCAAAGACTTATCCTTCAACTGTTGAATGGCGACTTTATTCGGGTTGAGGACGCCAATCTCATTGTCACTCAACGGGCGGTTGTACAGCAGGACGTTCGTCACCGTCACAGACACGCCTTCTCGGCTTTCTTTGTTCTCTGCGCTGCCTCCATCCCCTCCAATGTAGAAGTGGGATACCCCCCCTTTCGATTCCGTATCTTCCAATGCACATTCTTCATTCCCACCCACACGCTGACCATCGACGTACGCGGAGCCCTGACCGCCGTTCTTCAACAAAACTACCACGTGTCGAGTTCTCTCTGTCTCCGATGTGCTTTTAAGCTCCTTTGTCGTTCCGCCACTGCACTTTAATATCCACTTCTTTTCATTGTCGTACGACAGTCCCAGGAGTACTGGATTCCCATCGCCACTCATCTTCACACCCATCAAAGGAATAGTGGTACCCTCCTCCGGCACACCGTCGATGGACACCGTCGCCACAAGAGTGAATTTGTAGTTCGCAAAGTGGTACGGCTGATTCTCCCCCTGCGCGCCAACGGGCCACTCCGCCCACGCTCCCTGGAACTGCACACCGTTATCCGTCATCTCCGCCCCACCATCATTCCCCTTCACTGTGGCGTTCACCCCGAGGTACTCGTCCCTCCATGTCTTATCAGAGAAGTTCCCGGATAAAAAGCCAGCCAGCCCATCCGTGATCTTAACAGAGCTGCAGGCATTTTCAGGTGAGATACTCTCCACATTTTCAGAAGGGCACAGCTGAGAGACACGTTTGTCCACTTCCTTCCAGGCCGTCAGCACATCCTTCACCTTCTCCAGCTGCTCAGTCAGGAGCACAGACACCATACCGAGTGATGCTTCGTCCTCATCCTTCTTCTCTTACAGTGCAATCAACTCCTCCTTCTTATCTTCACCTTCAGCACTTTTGTACAGCAGGGAGCTGGCAGCAGCATCGTCCCCTTCTCCGGATACCGGCCCAATATCAACAATGTGCGTATTGTCCGTCAGCCAAAGATGGAGTTTGCCCTTTTTGTTGCCTTTTTCATTGGAATAAACCGGTAGGGTCACGAGCACCACAGTTCTCTTATCATCAACATCGTCAATCCTCGCTGTGGTGAACCCGCTTCTAACGAGTTTCACTTTTTCATCCTGTTTGTTGCCCCACACACGCGAGAGTGTCCCGAGTGCCTCCGTCCACGAATCCCCCTTGTCACCGGACTCGTACACCCTGCGGCGGCCATCATCACACGCAGTCATCATCATGAGTTTTTTGTCCTTCCACTCCACGACGGAGGGATCACTGCAGCCATCGGCAGACATCCCCTTCGACAGCTTCCAATTCGGAATGTCCCTCGGGTCTATGACCAGCAGAAAGATTTTTGTTTTTTTGTCATTCTTCGTAGCTTCCACTGGAAACAAAAGCGTGTCGTCAGTTAACTTAACACCCGAACCACCACCGCCAATCAGCTCTGTCAAGTAGTCGTTAGTTCCGCCTAAAGGTTTCCACTGGAGACGTTTAGTATCTTTCCAGTCAATCTTTTTGCTTTCCCCAGCATCACTGACTTCCCCTTTCACCAGCAAAAGTCCCCAGCCATCTGCACCACCAACCTGACCAACAGCGGCAGCATTCCGGCTGTACTTCCCAGCAAGCATGTAAATATCACTTTCCTTCACAACTGCTGTTGGCCGGCTCACATCCACTTTCTTCCTACTGCTTGAGGAAGCAACTTCCTCCAGAAATTGTGTCTTATCTTTGGTTTCCTTCAGAACTTCCTCCAGCTTTATAGCAGCTTCTTTCGTGATAATTTGGGATGCAATGCCAGTAAAGGTGTTGGCGTCATCATTCTTGCACTGCGCCCCAAAAACGGCAAATACGTCATTCCCCACTTTTAGAAGGCCGGGAACGCCCAACGATTCCACAGTCACGCCATCAGTGATGCTTTTCCAGTCAAAATTTGGTTCGGATAACTCCTCCGCGTTAACGGCTCCAGTGCCACAGCACACCACGAAGAGGAGGAGCAGCACCGCAAAATAGAAGTGATGCCGGGATATGTTGGGTCTTTGCGGCTCACTCTCTCTTCCTGCCTTTCTCCTTCCGCTGGATCCGGCCACGCGGCGACGGTTGTGTGTGCGGGGTGCCTCCACAGCAGCAACACGTGAGAGCATGTAAATATGTGTGTGTGGGCGGCGGGTGCTGTTGTTGTTGGTCCTTTCAGAGCCTTAGAATTTCACAGTGGCGATTCGCGCCTGTTTTCCTTCATTTGTTATTGAGAGATAGAAACAGAGAGAAAACATGAATAGAAAAGAAATGAAACAGTGAGAAGCGCCCCCCATCCACAGTAACTGGCACCATCATCCCCGCCGCACTCACTCCCAACAACAACTCACGCACACAGACACACGGAACAAGAGGGAGAACAGTGCACCGGGAACACACTGCGACTGCGACCACCACAACTGGCAGGAGTCACGGCGGTTGTGTTGTTATTCGTCACGCGTCAGCTCACAAATCGAGCAACGCCCACACACAAATCAAACAGCGGGATGCAAAACGGCACAACCGTCCTTCGCAGCACCAATGCGCTGCAGCAATCCTTTTCTGCTGTCTCTTCCTTCGCACCCGCACATCACCGCACACAGCCGGGGAGCAACCGTCAACGTATTCACGGAAGCAAAGACACATCGGCACGTGGAGCAGCTGGGAGAAATAATCCATCCGCACATGTCCCAGGCACCCAAAACGCCACACCATTCGCCGACTGCACGCCGCCAACATCACACCGCAGCACGTCAAGGAGGCAAATTACAAACCCTCGTCCTTCTCGCAAGGACCGCCGCAGCCAAAATCGTGCGCGTGCGTGCGTTCTCAGCATTCACGCCTCTCCACAGCGTGGGCGACATGGCATGTGTGTGTACATGTGTGCTTGTCAGCGCCTATAATTGCAGAGCAGCTGTGCGGAGCACAAGAGAGTCAGAAGAAAGCAACGGCAAATAAAGAAAATAATAGCACACACGCAAATTACTCATATCATCACACACACACGCAGCCCGCAGTATGGGTGCTCTCAACCACAAAACAATGAAAAACAAAACAAAAAGCCGAAGCGTGGGACGACCAGCGCACACACTCTCATTGCTCCCGTAAAGCAAAACACACACACAGGGAGAGAGAGAGAGAGAGGTCGCCCACTCAATGCAATAAAAACAAAACAGAAACAGTTACGGTGCTCCGCCCATGCAGCCAGGCAGGACGGCAGCGGTGCGTGTGGTGCAAAAGAGAGCACCAACGGGCCTGCATGGGTGTGCATGCAATATATACAATGGGCACATTATGTGTGTGCCTCGTGGGATGAGGTGAGGGTGAGAGTCCATGCAAGGGGACACACACACACAGAGAGTGAGTGAAAGACGAGTGTGTGTGCGGGCGGTGCATGGCTCTCTCTCCCTCACTCTCACGCGGCCACCACCGCAGCAGCCGCCGCACACGCAAAAACAAGAAGAAGCAAAAGAGGGGAGGTGGTGTGGGAAGCCGCGGTGCTGCCGTCACTGTCGCCAGGTGCCGTCGTATAATTCTTTTGAGCAGCGGTGACTGTTGCTGGTGTTTGTGGTTCTGCCTCACTGAGTGTTGGAACACCGTTGGTATTGCCAGTTTCAAGACTGTCGTGTTGTTCTTCAGAGATTTGAGCATCATCCTTATCTTCCCTATTCTGGACATGATCACCGCTGCCACTTGTAGAGGTAGATGATGTTGTTGTTGTTTCTGCTGGACTGCCGGTTGCTGCATTCTTCATCAAATCCTCTGTGTCTGTGTCATGACTGTGCCGCCCTTGTGTAGCAACCCCTGAAGATGATTGCGTTGCTTCTGAGTCCGTTTTGGATTCTGACGGTGTGGCTTCGTTCGTTACTTTTTTCTGATTCTGTGAGTTTTTTAGTTCCGTTGGTGGGCTTCCTTCACCCTCTGATATTGATGGTGCAGGTCCACCCGATGGTGTTGTTGGTGGAGGTGGTGGTGGTGCGGGTAATGATGGTGGTTTTTCTCCCGCATTATTTTTACTTTCGCGAGACTCGGTTTGTGCTTTAATTTTTTGTTTTTCCTCCTCTTCCGTGTTTTTTTCCCCATCCTCTTTCTCTATCGCTTCATCGCTCTCACGGTTATCCTGGCGTTCGACACCTAATTCCGTCACCTTGCCCTTGGGCAATTGGTTAATGTCATCAGTACCCGTCGAAGAGAGTTTTTCACCAGGAGGACTGGGAGTGCTGCCAGATGGAGATGACAATTCATCGTTGGTCTTGTCTTTGGAGTCCGTTGCCTCTTTTTTCTTAGGATCCAAGTTATTTTTTTCATTCCCTTCTTGACCAGCCATAAGTGACTGCCCGGTTTCTGCACCTGTCCCTGGCATTCCAGGCCCAGACGGCAGGAATGGTGTTCCTGCACCTGCGGCACCTTCCATTTCTTTTGGAACAGGCGCTGCGTCGCCCCCACTACCAGCTGATATACCACCAGCCGCTGTTTTCTCCTCCAATAGGGCATTAGTAGTTCCACCTTCACTGTCATCCTCAGCTGCAACCGCCTTTATTAATCCCATTCGGGTGGAAATCAACCCGCGATCCGCCTTCAGGCGCAGCCTGTCATTTCCTCCATTATGCGTGTGCGTCAAGAAGTTTCTTCCACCCTCGTTGTAGCGATCGTCCCTTGCATCTCCAAAACCATTGCCGCACCACAGCACGCAGAGGGCACACACCAGCAGCACACGGCCAGTCATCATCATCGCCATCACTCCTGTCACTTGCGTGTAGTCTTCAGCACAAACTAACAACACGTCAACGCAGAGCAAAAAAGGATATACACGGCCTCTACACCACACAACGTGACAAATGATAGCAGCTTGCGCACACCGTAAGAAAGATGGAATCAGTACGATTGCAGAACTCGCACACACAGCTCCGCAATAATTGACCAGAAAGAAAAACATACAAGAAACAATTAAAAACAAAAAAACAGTAAACAAACAGCAATAAAGTAAAAACAAGTAAAAACACAAAAGACAAAGAACTGCACAGTATGGCTCCAGTGTGCGTGCACCAGCGCCCAAAAATGCGTCCACACAAAAATTTGTATGCGTGTCGTGCATATGAGTGTGTCTGGTACGCGTTCAACATGACGGATACAGGGAGCACAATGCGGAGCACACAGCAGGGCAGCAGAAGCAAATAAAGCAAAACACAATCATTATTTTCTCCTATTTATTTACATCGGACCACAGTAGACGCACACAAATCCCCGTGGTTGAGTGCTGGCACGCACAGACCGCATACACCTCTTCAGCCCACAGCAGTGTACGCCAGCGCGGATACTGCGAGCAGCAGCGGGGCACACACCCACGCAGAGCTGCTGAGGCCGCCGTCGATTTCGCGAAGACGTGACGGTGTGCGGGTGGTCGTCGTGGTTGGCGCCTCTGCATTCATGGCCGTATCACCTGGTGCCTCGGGCGCAGTGGTGGTGGTTGTAGTAGTTGGTGCCATTGTTGTAGTTGTGGTCGTTGTGGTTGTCGTGGTTGGTGCCTGTTCATTAACTTCTTTACCAGCTAGCGCTACTTCATTATTATGCTCCGGATTCTTTACAACTGATTTATCGAAGTCACCTGTTGGTCCTGGTGAAAGGTTATTCCCTTCTGATGCCTCTGGCTGACCAGACGCACCTCTTCCATCTTGCGAAGTGGGTACTACACTTGGTCCTTCTTCTCCTGTACCTGTCGACGTTGGAGTTGCTGGAGCAGCAGCGGTCTTCAATTGTCTCTCTGACGAATTGGGCTCCTCATCTGAACTCTGTTCATTATCTTCCGTGACTTTTGCTTCTGGATTATCGGAATTGCTTGAACCCCCTGAACCCTGGAGCGTTGCACCCTGTCCAGCTTTTTCAACTTTATCTCCACTCCCTGTCATGCACACGGACGAGCAGCAGCACAGGGCGAGCACCAACAGGGCGCACAGCAGACGGCACGTCATCATCGTGAGTGTGGTCGTTCAGTGGTGTGGAGCTGATCTGCACAGTGAGGGACATGGAGAGCAACAGGGGAGACGAGAGGTGCGGCAGACACACACAGAGGGCACACCACATGAGGAGAGGGCGGCAGCCAGGCATGCACCGTACGCCGCACACCACGCACGACACACACTCCAATCCACGGCAGCAGGCACACACACACACAGCCCTGCCGCAACACCAACACACAGATGGAAGAGGGAGAAGCAAACAGGAGCGGCACACAAGGCTCCACCGCATGCACATACGGCGAGAGCGGTCCGTCGTGTCCGCAGCCCTCACGGAGGGTACGCACACACACAACAGGAGGTGCAGCGCACACAGCAACACAAAAGCAAAGTAACAATAAAAAAGAGGAGATCCCCACACACCACGTGGATTGTTGTTCCACGGGAAGTGCAGCCAACATTCATCACAACAACAATTCATTTGCCTTCGGCCTTTCTTCATATTCAGTGCACACCACTTCATGCAGGCACAGCCAACACCGCAGCAGCAGCCGCACACGTAACGTTAAGCGCAAAAGAAAAGCGGTGGTGTGGGAGGCTGCGGTGCCGCTGTCACTGTCGCCAGGCTTCGTCGTGTCATCGGCTTTGGCGTTTGTGGTTGGCGCTGCTGTGGATCCCGCAGTCTGAGAGACCGTATCATATTTGTTGGCTGATGCAGCTTCACCATCGGAATTCGTTCCGGGTGGTGTGGCGCCTTCAGTGGAGGGTCGGTTCGGATGATTGGTGGCCGGAGCGCCTTCTGTGCCAGTGTCAGACTGCATGGCCGTAGCTGCCGCGGTGCTGCTGCCGCTGTCGCCCTTCGTCGTTACAACACTCATTTCTTCAACCGTCGTGAGTGGCAATCGTGAACCTTCCCCTCTACCCGCTGAAGCGACAGCTTTTTGCCGGTGTCCTTATTCTGCTGAATGTCTCCCACGACAGACTGTTGAGAATTATTCGTGCCAATGTCGTTTTCGTGGCTTTTCGCGTCAACACGGCCAGCTGCAGATGTGGATGATGGATTTGCATGCGGTGAGTTGTTGGGCAATGGAGGCTACACAGAACTCGACAAATTTCGTTGATCCTCACCAACTGGCAAACTGCCTTTTGATGAATTTATCGTTTCAACTCCATGAGTTCCACTCAACGATTGCGACTGTAAACCCTCATTCTCACGCGACTGCGGGTCCTTCACTGTGATCAGTCCGTCCTCAGGCTTTTTTACCTCTTCTGCTGTTCCATCACCCTCCTTCTCTTTCCAACATCATTAGCAACTTCTTTTATTGCTTTTTCTTCCTCATCAGCAACATCTCCGGCTCCTGAAAGGAGGCCTTCAAAAGATGAGGGGAGGTTTTCTTATTGTTGGACACTTATTCCTGGTGCTTCTGGGCCTGGGGGGGTGTGTGGTACTGGCGTTTCATAACGTAATGTACCCTTTAAATCTCCTCCGTCACTCTCAAGACCATCAGGCTAAGAAACTGCGAGTACTTCTTCACAACATCCTTCGGAACAGCACCACAGCACGCAGAGGGCACACACCAGCAGCACACGGCCAGTCATCATCATCATCATCACTTCCGTCATTTGCGTGCAGCCCTCAGCACAAAATAACTCCCCGTCAACGCGGACTAAAAGCAAAAAGGGAGACAAGTCACACAACCACGAACCGTCCCATCCAGCAATGAGAGTCACGCACCACCGCAACACAACAATTGGGTAGACACGGTTCAACAACAATAAAAAAAAAAAGAGGAGCGCTCCTCGCCCGCGCATCGTTCGTCACACTCCCACAGTCACCAATGCTGTTGTTCTCTCTCTCCTCAGGCCCTCGCAGGCACGCCACGCTCACCTCAACACGCGCCCCTCCAGCACAGGCCTCGGGATCGTCATGCGCTCCCGCTGCGCCGCAACGTCCGCCACCTCTTCCCTCAGTCCAGCAGCTCCGTGTCCTCCACGTCCCTCACAATCGCCGGCATGCCCCGGCCACGCAACACACACAGCACCACAAATTCGTGTATCCGGCGGCGTCGCACCGCTGGAAGAAGTACGGCGCAGCAACGGTGCGGGTGTCCGTGTGGCTGTACTCGTGCTTCAACGCGTCCAGCACGAACAGGTACGGCGGCAGCTCGTCCAACAGCTTCGGCCCCTTCTCCCTCGGCGCCTCGTCCTCCGCTGCACAAACCATCACGCTCGCACCACTGCCCTTCTGCAATCACACCCACAGAGAGACAAGGAAGAGTGTGTGTGGATGTGTGTGCCTAGAACACAGCGACTGTCATCGCCAGAGGAGGCCATCGTGGCACCGTCCGTCACGCGTCACCACACACCGAGCAACGCACGCACCCGGCAGTGCAAATACAGAGGGCAGAGAAGAATGACCCCAAGAGCAGGCAGCACCTTCACGCATGGCGGGCATCGTGCAGCCGCGTCAGCCGGCCACAAACTCAATGCAAAAGACGTCCCGCACACATCCATCCAATGGCACCGTGATCCCCACCGCAGACACACACGAAGCAAAGAAGTAAAAACAGGAGCAGAGCATGTGAAGGGACGCACAAACAAAAACAGTACAGCAGAGGTGCATGGCAGAAAGAAAAAGACTGCTCAAGCTCACAATATTGCACTGCAGACAAAGCAGCGGCAATTCATAAAAAATTTAATAAAAATAAATTAAATAAAAATTCATCTTCACCTTTCCACACCTCACACTTTGGAAAGAAGAAAAAGAAAAAATGAAAATGAAAAATAAAAAAAAAGAAAATGAAAAAAAGCCGTCCTCTATTACGGCTACACCCAAATAATAAAAAAGAAAAAAAGAAAAAGAAAAACCACACACACAAAAAAAGCAACCAACCACAATGTTGCTCCAGAAATTGTCTGCATATTTTGTCCGAAAATAAATTAAAAAGATATTTAAATGTCTTTCAACCGTCTGACCCCCCGTGTGACCGCACATCGTTTATATTTCATGGGGTCATCTGCGTGTTGCTGCTCCCCTCAGCCCTCTCATCGGCGTGTGAGTGCGGCCCGCAGAGCACAGTCACTCGTGTGTGTGCATGGGGACTGAGAGAAGCACGCAGAAATGACGGGAGTCGCGTCACTCCATCGGGAGAGTGAGCGCAGTAAAAAAAAAATCGGAAGGAAAAGAAATGCTCACAAAACCGACACCGAAGGGACTGCCGGCGCGAGAAATAAACACGCAAAGCAAAAAGTCTTAAAAACACGGCGGCAGGGTGTGGCTGTGTGTGTGTGTGGCGCTGCGGGTGTCTGCCCGCCCTGGCCGCATAAAAACAAAACAAGAGGGAAAGAAATGTGTGCTCCGCCCCACAGGCCCTCGTCGCACGCCCACACGTCACGGCCCCTCCTCATGCGTGCAGCAGGCGAGGCGCACAGGGCCGTCGTCATGAGCGTCTCGGTGGGTGTGCGAGTGGAGCAGTTGGGCGGGAAACACACGGCACCCCTCGCAGGAAGAGTGCAGCAAAAAACAATTAAAAGAGGGAAGAGTAGAAAAGAAAAAACGTCCATAGTGATTGCCCCCAAAAGCGAAAAAAAAAAAGAATGGATGGGGGTGAGAGATAAAAAAAGAAAACATTAAAAAAAGAAAAAAGAAAAATACGCACAACAAAAAAAAAAATAGGAAAAAGATTTATTTAAAAAAAAAGAAAAGAAATCAAAAAGCAGAAAACAAAACGCTCAGAAAATTTTAAAAATTGTGCACAGAAAAAAGGCAAAAAAGATAGAAAAAAAGGAAAATGAAAAGATTTTATGAGGGAAATTTGTTCCTATGGGAATAGTATTTCTGTGCTCGTGAGGTAGCAGGTATTCCACGCGGCTGCCAGTCACTCCTCACAGAGCCGCAAACCCCCACAGTCCCAACAGCAGAAGAAGCGATGACAGCAGTCCGCTCCCACGCATACTGCCGGCATTGCCCGCTGCTTCCCCAACGGCATGGGAGTCCGGAGCCGTCGGCACTTGCTGTGTGGTGGCAGGCTTCCCCTCCGTTTTCATTTCATCCCCTGTTTTGGTGCGAGAAACAGCTCCCGCTGGTGACCCAACATCTTTTTCCACTTCGGCATCGGGGCCAGAAGAAGTCAACGGGCGGTTGTACAGCAGGACGTTCCTCACAGTCACAGAGACGTATCCTTGGCCCCCTGCGCTGCCTCCATCCCCTCCAATGTAGAAGTGGGAGATCTCTTGCGGTTCTGTTGCTTCCAATCCACGTTGCGCGCTCCCACACACACGCTGACCATCGACGTACACGGAGCCCTGGGTGCCGTTCTGTAGCACAATGGCCACCTGGTACTGTGTCTCTGTCGCCCAAGTGCTTTTAAGCTTCTTGGTTGTTCCGTCACTGCACAACACCCGCCACTTATTTTGGCTGTCGTACGACAACTCCATAAGCTTTTTTCCACCGTCCAGACGCACACCCATCAATGGAATGGAGGTATCTCCCCTCGGCAGATTGTGGATGGACACCGTCGCCACAAGAGTGAATTTGTAGTTCGCAAAGTGGTACAGCTGATTCTCCCCCTGCGCGCCAACGGGCCACTCCGCCCACGCACCACGTCCTTTAAATGTTACGCCATCCGCATACCCTGTTGCCACTTCATTCGTTCCTTTCTTTACTGTGGCGTCCACCCCGAGGTACTCGTCCCTCCATGTGTTATCAGAGAATTTGCCAGACAAAAAGCCAACCAGCCCATCCGTGATCTTATCAGTAGTGCAGGCAGTGTCAGTTGATTTACTCACCGTGGCACGTGAAGTGAGGCACAGCTTGGAGACACGGTCGTCCACTTCCCTCCACGTCGTCAGTACTTTCTTCACCCGCTTCAGCTGCTCAGTCAGAAGCACAGACACCATATCGAGTGATGCTTCGTCCTTCCTCTTCTCGTACAGTGCAATCAACCCCTCCTTCTTATCTTCACCTTCAGCACTTTTGTACAACAGGGAGCTGGCGGCAGCATCGTCCCCTTCTCCAGATACCGGCCCAATATCAACAATGTGCGTATTGTCCGTCAGCCAAAGATGGTGTACGCCCTTTTCATTGTTGTTTCCATTTTTCTCTTTTTTGGAGTGGACTGGAAGAGTAACAAGCACCACGTCCCTGCCCTCAATCATCGCTGTGGTGAACCCGCTACTAACGCCCCTCTCATGTCGCTTTTGGTTGTTGCCCCACACGCGCGAGAGTGTCCCAAGTGCCTCCGTCCACGAATCCCCCTTGTCACCGGACTCGTACACCCTGCGGCGGCCATCATCACACGCAGTCATCATGATGAGTTTGTCCTTCCACTCCACGACGGAGGGATCACTGCAGCCATCGGCAGACATCCCGTTCGACAGATTTCCACCATCAGTGGCTGTGTATATGATCAGCGAAACGGCCTTTCCATCCTTCGTGCCTTCCACGGGCAACACAAGCGTACCGTCCTTCATCTTAATACCCGATCCGCCGCCGCCAATCAGCGGTGTCAAGGATTCGTGTCGTTTTTCAAAATAAGTCCACGGGATAACGTAAGCGTCGTTCCAATAAATTCTTTTATCGCTGCCCTCAGTACTGACGTTGCCGCTCGCCACCAAAAGTCCCCATTTAGCTGCTGCAGCTGTCTGATCAACGCCTTCAGTAACCTCAAAACTGTAGGTTCCAGCAAGCATGTGAATATCACTTCCATTCACAACTGTTGTTGGCCGGCTCACATGTACTTTCTTCTTACTCTGAGAAACAGCCAAAACTTCTGAATGGGAGGCACAATTCTTATTTTCGGCAGGACATTCCACCAGTACTTGTGTCTTCACCTGGGCTGTACCCAATTCTTTTGATTCCTGATCAGTTAACTTCAAGAGCTCCGAGGCAATCCCAGTAAAACCGCTGTTACTGGCTTCCGTGAACTCCGCCTCGGCAACGGCAAACACTCCACCATTCATCTCAACAAGACTGGGAACACGGAGCAAACTCACTGTTTCGTCACTTTTCTTATCTCTCCAATCAAAATATTTCTCCGGTGAAGTTCCCTCAACTGGCGTTGAAGCCCCATTATCAGTGGCTGCAACTCCACCAGTGCCGCAGCACATCATCACGACGAGGAGGAGCAGCACCGTGGAAGTAAACACACACCGGGGCATGTTGGGCCTCTGCGGCTCACTCTCCCTTCCTTCCCTCCTCCTTCCGCTGGATCCGGTCACGCGGCGACGGTTGTGTGTGCGGGGTACCTTCACTGCAGCAACACGTGAGTGCATGTAAATATGTGTGTGTGGGCGGTGTGTGTGCTGTTGGTCCTTTAAGTGCCTTCGAATATCACAGTAGCGATTAGCGCTTGTTTGCTTTCTTCGTAATAGAGCGACAGAAATGAAGAAATAAATAAATTTAAAAAAATGGGCACCGTCACCCATCCACAGTGAGTGGCACCATCATCCGCAGTCAATAACAACAACAACAACTCACGCACACAGACACACGGAACGAGATGGATGAACAGTGCACCGGGAACACACAGCGACTGTTGCCACCAGCAGGAGTCACGGCGGGTGTGTCTTATTATTCACGCGTCAGCACACACCAAGCGACGCCCACACACAAAACAACCGGCAGAATGCAAAAGGGCACAACCGTCCTTTGCAAAGCCCACGCGCTGCCGCCCGTCGTTTAATTCTTGTCCCTCCATCGCACACGCTCCGCCACTGGCGCACATCACCCCGCACAGCCGGAGGTTCTCCTGTCGACGTATCCAAAGCCGCAGTGATGCGTCGACAGTTGCAACTGCTAAGCAAGAATCCATCCGCACATGTCCCAGGCACCCAAAATGCCACACCACTCACCGGCCGCACGCTGCCAACATCACACCCACAACACATCGGAAACATTCAAATCACGGGCTCCCGTCCTCCCTTCTCGCGAGATGCCGCTGGTGCCAGAATAATGTGCGTGTGTGTTTGTCGGCGCCTATACATGCAGAGCAGCTGTGCGCCACAAGAGAGTCAGAAGAAAGCAACGGCAGAGAGAGGCAGATAGCACACACGCAAATTACTCATATCATCACACACACACACACACGCAGCCCGCGGAATGGGTGCTCTCAACCACAAAACAATGAAAAACAAAACAAAAAGCCGAAGCGTGGGACGACCAGCGCACACACTCTCATTGCTCCCGTAAAGCAAAACACACACACAGGGAGAGAGAGAGAGAGAGGTCGCCCACTCCATGCAATAAAAACAAAAACAGTTACGGTGCTCCGCACATGCAGCCAGGCAGGACGGCAGCGGTGCGTGTCGTGCAAAAGAGAGCACCAACGGGCATGCATGGGTGTGCATGCAATATATACAATGGGCACATTATGTGTGTGCTTCGTGGGATGAGGTGAGGGCGAGAGTCCATGCAAGGGGACACACAGAGAGAGTGAGTGAGGGACGAGTGCGTGTGCGGGCGGTGCATGGCTCTCTCTCACTCACTCTCACGCGGCCACCACCGCAGCCGCAGCCGCACACGCAACAAGAAGAAGAAGCAAAAGAGGGGAGGTGGTGTGGGAGACCGAGGTGCTGCCGTCACTGTCGCCAGGTGTCACCGTATCATTCGCTTGAGCTTTTGTTGTTGCTGCTAGGCCTTCTCCTGGTGTTGAATCTCCCGGTGGTGGTAATCGTTCTGCAGTTGGTTTTTCTGCCGGTGCTCCCGTTACTGTCGCCGTTGGTGGTACTGGTGGTGCTGGCCGTTGTGGTTGAGGTGTTGTTGGTGCGTTGCTGGCGGTAGTCGATACGCCGGAAGAGCCTTTCGTCCCCATGGCACTCTGCCCCGCGGCGCTGTGAGCTGCATCCCCATCAGGAAGTCGACTTGTTTCATTTTCTTGTGTTTCCGAAGAGTGCTGTTTTGCATCGGGTGTTGACCTCTCCGGTGTCTCCCTGTTGAGTGGTGCGCTCCCTGAAGATGTTGTTGGCCCTGACTGCTCATTGTTTTTTAGAGATGTCGTGTCCTGGGTGGATGGTGCACCGCCATTATTCCGTGAAGCATCTCCATCGTTGGAAATGGGAGATGAAGAAGCATCACCGGAAGGTGGCCCGGAAATGGGACCTCCACTTCCTTTAGAATCTTTATTTTTATCACCAGTAACACGAGAAGTGTCACTAGCACCAACGGGATCGCCATCGGCTTCACCTTCAGCGGACGCTGCTGGTGATGATGGTGGTTGTGCTTGTAGCGTTGGTGGCTGCCCTGTTGATTTTTGTGAGTTTTCTTGTGGTTGTCCTGGCGTTGTCGGTGATCCTTGCATTGATGCTTGTGATGGTGATTTTGCTGGTGGATCTTCTGCTGGTGGTGATGGTAGTGATTGTGGTACTGTTACTTTATCCTTTGTTCGAGATGTGTGTGTTACCGGTAATTCTTTACCTTCTTCTTGTACTCCTTCCTTCCCAACATTCCCTGCTGGTGGTTCTTTGACCAAGTTCCCTTGCTCACTGACGTTAGTTCCTGATCGTGTATCCAGCAAGTGACCCGCGGACCCTAATTTTTCATCGACTGACCTCGATAATTCCGGTTTTGCTGCTTTTTCGTCTCTAGAACCAGACTGTGAATCCCCCAATGGACCCACCTTTACTCCGCCATCGACAACATCACCGGCAGACGACACCACCACCGCAGCACCGCACCACAGCACGCAGAGGGCACACACCAGCAGCACACGGCCAGCCATCATCATCGCTCCCGTCACTTGCGTGTAGCCTTCAGCACAAACTAACTCCCCGTCAACGCAGAGCAAAATAAAAGGAGAGACACGGCCTCTACACCACACACAGCCACCGCACAGTCACAAATGGCAGCAGTCCAGCAACGGCAGCGCATGCGCCATGAGGCAGTTGGAATCAGTGGGAAAGAAAAAAACACACACACCGCCCCGTAGCAAGCAAACAGAAAAAACACAAGAAACAATTAAAAACAAAACACAGGTAAACAAACAGCAATAAAGTAAAAAAAATTAAAAACACACAAAAAAGAGCTGCACAGTATGACTGCAGTGTGCATGCACCCATCCACAAATGTGATTCCACGCAAACAGTTGTATGCGTGTCGTGCATATGAGTGTGTCTGGGATGCGTGCCAAGTGACGGATACAGGGGTCAAAAACGTGGAGCACACAGCAGCGCAGCTGAAGCAAATGAAGCAAAAAACAATCATCATAACTACTCTTACTTTATTTACATCGGACCACAACACACGCACACAAATCCCCGTGGTTGAGTGCTGGCACGCACAGCCCGCATACACCTCTTCAGCCCACAGCGGTGTACGCCAGCGCGGATGCGGCGAGCAGCAGCGGGGCACACACCCACGCAGAGCTGCTGAGGCTGCCGTCGACTTCGCGAAGACGTGACGGTGCGCGGGTGGTCGTCGTAGTTGGCGCCTCTGTAGTCGTCGTACTTGGTGCCTCCGGCGCAGTGGTCGTGGTTGGTGCCTGTGTTGTGGTGGTCGTCGTCGTTGTCGTCGCGGCAGGATCTTCGGCGTTCTGATATGTTTGATCTGCGGACTTATTTGTGCTACCTTGTGGCCCTGACGTATCGTCATTATCATGTTTCTGTGAATTATCGGTCGCACCATCTGATTGCGTTTCCGAACCGCTCGCACCTCCCATATCTCCGTCAACTTCTCGCGATTCCGCAGCGGACACCACATCTTGCGGCCCTGACTGGCTGCTCCTCGGTGGTGCTTTTGATGCAGTGGCCGAAAAACTGGCGGCGTTTCTCCCAGCTACAGCATCCGAAATAGAAACCGTCTCAGTGTGTTCCGCGCACACGGACGGGCAGCAGCACAGGGCAAGCACCAACAGGGCGCACAGCAGACGGCACGTCGTCATCATCGTGAGTGTGGTCGTTCAGTGGTGTGGAGCTGATCTGCACAGTGAGGGACATGGAGAGCAACAGGGGAGACGAGAGATGCGGCAGACACACACAGAGGGCACACCACATGAGGAGAGGGCAGCAGCCAGGCATGCACCGTACGCCGCACACCACGCACGACACACACTCCAATCCACTGCGACAAAAACACACACACACAGCCCTGCCGCAGCACCAACACACAGATGGAAGAGGGAGAAGCAAACAGGAGCGGCACACAAGGCTCCACCGCATGCACATACGGCGAGAGCGGTCCGTCGTGTCGGCATCCCTCACGGAGTACGCACACACACAAGAAGGTGCAGTGCCCACAGCAACACAAAAGCAAGGTAACAATTAAAAAGGAGAGATCCCCGCAAACCACGTGGATTGTTGGTCCACGGGAAGTGCAGCCAATATTCATCACAAAAACAATTCAGTTGCCTTCGGCCTTCGTTCATATTCAGCGCACACCACTTCATGCAGGCACGGCCATCGCAGCAGCAGCAGCCGTACACGCAAAAATGCTCGCAGGAAATGGAATAAGGCAAGCAACCATTTATTTGTGTTTCTGTTTGAATGTTGGCAGATGTCTGCATGCGTTGTTTTGTTTTTGCGGAGGGCAAACCTTCATGCCTGGGTCGTGTGTTGGGGATTCCTGCAGGGTGCACAATTATGTCTTTTTCCTCTTGTGAAGTTTGCTTGTGTTGGTGCGGCCAATAATTCGGTTTGTGTTGATCCTGCTTCCCTTTGTTACAGTGCTGCAATAAAGAATAATCTTCCGGGCCGCTGGCCGAATCCTAAGTTTCCCAATAATAGAAACCAAACAAGATAGAAATAAGTGAGGGATCAACGGAATAAGAGTGGATTCACCACCTCCCCAATGTTTAACACCTAGTAAGTGTATATATATTATACCATACGTTAGCCTCAATTGTGGCCCGTTCACTCTATTCCGATGGAATATTTATTTATTTATTTATTGCTTGCGACGTGGCAGACTTTGGGGTCCTGCAGCCACAAGACCCCGCCGCGTGGTGGGAACCAAAAGGGGGTGCGTGCGATGGTAAAAATAAAAATAAAAAATTATCCGGCCGCTGTAGGCTCCCTAAAGTCGTGGCCTTCCCAAAACTCATACGGTAGAAAAGTGTCCTAAAGAAGTGTATATTCGTTCCATCAGGGTATATATATATATATATACATTCATTAGGGCCGCCAGCTCTCCCGCGATCATTCTCTACACAGGCTCCTAAAAGGGC